TAGTTCATTCCCCCCACTGTGTTAACTCTTTCTGAGGATTGTTGATTTCCTGAGCCCTGCAGGTCTCCTCTGCATGGGCATCTCCACCTTCCTCTTAGAGAGCTAGACAGCCTTGCAGGGCCCGGTGCACAGGGGCCAGGTGGGAGGTGCTTCTGTATGGCGGGGTCAGGTGCACTCCATCCAGGGGCTACAGATGTGAGCACTCAGCCTCCGATGCTAGGATGTGATGGGCAGCCACTGAGCTATAGGTTCGGGTGAGGACCATCACCAGGGCTTTGGGTGTGAGCATGTGGCTGGGCAGGGGTAGGGGTGCAGGAGGCAGGGGCGGCTGCTGTGTGGGGGTGACTTTGCCCACAAGTCCGCACAACCACCACAGATGAAAGTAACACTACCAAGACATTATCTGCTTGGGGAGGAGAGGTAGCCAATCTCTCAGAGGAAAAATGCCAGGAACCCCTTCCTCAACAGATTTTATTGGGTTGTAATACAGAGGAATACAGGTGGCAAGGATCAAACAGTAGATAACATATTAAAGAAATCTGAGGGCTTAGTCTGAGTCAGTGTCTGTCAGGAAAGGGGGTTTTGCAGAAACTTTGGGAGACATACTCATTTCCTGCTCGGACCCTTAACATATGAATGAAAGCACTCTTAGCAAAGCAGGTTTCACGGGGCTTTTAGGAATTCTTATGCCTGATTACCCTGGGTCCTGCTCTAGCTGGCAAGAAGCTGCACTATCTCCCCCATCACAGGTTTTCAGGCTTAAGTGGATTAGAGCCAGGAAGTGCTTCTCCCGGAGGACATGGGGACTCAGGGTATGTCAGAATACCCAAGGGGGTGAGGGTCCATCACTCCCTCTGTTGCAGCACCCCCCTCCCCCCCGCACCGAGTCCTTCCATGATGGTCTCCCAAATGATCATGTCTGGCTTAGGTTGCCCCTCCTCTGAGGAGTTGTACCTGTCTCTGACCATGCATTGGGGGCAGGGGAGGAAGCAGAGGCAGTGTTTGCTACCAGAGACCAGCTTTGTCTTCTTTGTGAGACACTCCTTTGAAGTGGCTTGCATTCTGGAGGTTGCTCACTCATCCTTAGCCACTGGAGGTGGTTACAACTCCTGAAACCAGGCAAAGGGGTTCCCAACACTGCTGCAGGGGAATTTCCCAAACAGCTGCTGAGTGTCTCTTTTTTCCTCTTTTTCTTTTGAAAAATCCCTCCATTCCAGCCTGCCACTCCAAACAGGTGCCTGCTTCTTGTACCACCCAACTCTCCACCCAGACCAGGGACTGTCCGAATCAGGGTACACCACTGGCCAAATCTTCCCAGCCAGCATCTATAGTCTCAGTGGGTGCACACACCCCTGTGTGTTTGCTACTTCATTCTTATCCCCCTCCTGCCCCACTGAGACTTCAAGCATCCAAGTCCCTCTTGGTGCTGCTCAAACCTTGTTTGGCAGAAGAGGGAGCCATTGACCTGGCTCTCTACCAAGAATCCTACACCAGACCCAGTAGGCACCAGGCCTGGGCCTGCAGCCATTCTGGTCCCTGTGCTGGTCCCAGAGACCTCATTTTCTTCAAGCACTCTCCTTACCTTCTGACAATTTTTGGTCTCCAATCTTCATATATGCTGGGATACCATTGGCTGTTCACTCTGTCCCTCAGAACATTGGCTAGGTGTTTCACCTGTGTGCAGAAGGAAGTGGGCTCCACTTCCACTCATCTCACTGCCATCCTAGAAATATTTTATTAAATCTCTCTCTCCCTTCCCCCCTCCTCCTCTTCCTCTCTCTCTCTCTGAATCAATCAATCAATCAATCAAATAACAAAGATAGCAACATAAGTGACTTGCTTAAAACAACAGAACAGTAAAATTCCACTGTTCCTGGGTCCCACCAAGCCTGGGGTGAAAAACTCCCCTCTGCTTTCTTGGACACCCCACTTTCTGTCACAGACTAGAACAGAGCATCTGTCCTTCTGGATGACGGCATCGTCACTGCTGATATGGGGGCAAAGCTGTGAGAAGGCACTAGGCCCACAGCTTCCTGGGATCCTCACAACACTCTGCTCTACCACTGTGTTCTGATCCCCAACCCCACCCAAAAGGAAAACAAAGGAAAAAGACATACAAAGGATGGGACTAATAGGGTAAAAGAGATCTTATATTTAGGGCCATGCACAATTGATGCAGAATGCAGATAATTCTTTATGTTGGACATTTGAAAATCTTATATGGGTTTTTGGTTTTGTTTTTGGGAGTTCCATACAATGATTCCAATGATGTTTGATTTTATTTCATGTATTTTATTTTAAAACCTGTATGAATTCATTGACCAATGTCACCCCAATAAATTCAATGTTAAACCAAAGGAGAAAAGATAAGGAAATAAGATAATCAGCCCTGGATGGTATGGCTCAGTGGATTGAGTACCTACCTGGGAAACAAGGGTCATAGGTTCCATTCTCAGTCAGGGAACAAGCCTGAGTTGTGAGCCAGGTCCCTAATGGGTAGCATGTGAGAGGCAACCACACACTGATATTTCTCCCCCTTTCTCCCACCCTTCTCCTCTGACCAACAATAGATAAATAAAATCTTAAAAAAAAAAAGAAAATCAGATAAACATATTCACCTGTTGTTTTCCTCAGGAAGTTTGCCTCCTTTAGGGTTTACACTCCTAGGCCCAGAAGTGTTTTTTAGGACACAGAACAACTCATGCCTCAGTGGGAAGCTTGGGCTACACATTGACGACTCCAAGAAATTCTTTCATGTCTGTGTCACCCAGCCAGTTTTGTGTTCCAGCCACTGCCCAAAAAGGATTTTCCAAGTCCCCCTTTCAGCTAGTCTATAGCCCCTTATTGGCGACACAGCTATGTACATATCAGTAGGCAGAATTTACCTGGAGACATTGTGGAGATGACCAAACATGTAAGCCCACATGAGGCACAATGTCTGATTCTAAGTAGAGCAGGACACCATGCAAGATTGTATGGCACCGATGATAATAACTTGAATTGAGAGAGAGAGATTTAAATAAAACTGGAGGAAAATTAAGAGAGCTCAAAGAAGTAGTAAACAAAAGGAAAGACTTATACGACTTGTATAAGTCGTATAAGTCTTTGTATCACAGAATCTGTATTTTGTTTTAGGGGGAACTAGTTGGTAACTAGGTAACTACTTAGTGTCAAAACAAAGATGTGTGTATCAGGAGGTGGGATCCACTGGAAGTCATGGTGCAGACTGCCCAGCTTGCAGACTTATGTGAGGCACATGGTATAAGTATAGCAGGAGCTATGGAAGGTGATATGGCATGTTTGCTAACACATTAATTTCCTGAATTTTTCCCTTAAAGGTGAAGACGTAAAAATGTGGCCTGAGTGGTGTGAATTTTCAAACACCACATTGCTGAAACCCAGACCTGTAATAGGTCGCATTTCAAACTACATCTCACTCTTTTCTTGTAACTTTGCAATGTCTGAGGTTTGTTATCAAACCTTTGCACACCAGCTTATAGGCGTTGTAAACTTTATATTGCATACACATGATGATGTCTCTGGAAATTAGTTTCTGGTACCAGCCTCACTATGGATATAGGGCTTCTAGTGAGACCTGGAGAGACACGGTGGCTTTTCCAGGACACTAAACTCATCAAAAAACAACAATCTAAACTGAGGTCTCCTTTATGAAAGCTTGAAAAACAGGTTACTTTTTTTTTCTTTTTTCTTTTTTTTTTTCCATAAAGCGGGCAGGGAGCCCCTGGTGAATGAACAACTTTGTACATTTATATAGGTGCTGTGGGTGAGAATCAACAGCCATGTGCAATTTTTAGGTAGGTCTGATTTTATAAAAGGCCCAGGTAATAGAACATTTATGGGGTTACCTTTCTTGATGACATAACAGTAGAGCAGTTGGAACTCTGGTTACCAGACATCAACGGTTCTGAGTGAGGTCCTTATCTAGCTCACACAACTGGAGACAGTGTAGAGAACAAGATGTGCTCCATGGTCTCTACACTTTCATAGGCTGTGCACTTTGAAGAGCCTGTCACAGGCCTGTTTTGCTCACTGTATGCTGTGGATGGCTCCAGCCTCCTGTCTAACAAAAGTGTGTAGCTGCAAGGAACTTAGGGCAGCAGCCCTGTGCAAGACCATGGAGGTAAGGTCACAAGTGTGATCTCACATTGGCACCATTTCAGCCCTTTTCTATTCTGTGGTGTGTTGGGGTGGATGGAGTGGCAAGAGGAAAGGGGAGCACTCCTGGACAGCAATAGGTTGATAACTATTAAAAGACTGCTGGGTCTGTCCAGTATGTATCCCCGTCATTTACAGGTTCTTTTGGATTGGCTTTCAGGGTTCTTAGGAGATAACCCCAGCAGTGGAATTGCCAGGTCAAAAGGCAGTTCCACCTTTACTTTTCTGAGGAAATTTCAAACTGTTTTCCACAGTGGCTGCACCAGTCTGCATTCCCACCAACAGTGCTCTAGGGTTTCCTTTTCTCTACATCTCATAGGGACCACTCTGTGTGGTTTTGGAGATTGTATCCCCATGAGAACAAACTGTGAAAGGGGCTGGTAAGTCTCCCTGGAAAACCAGGTTATAACACAGGGGGCAGGCATGACTCGATTTTAACACCGAGGGTCCTGTGAGAATCAGGCCTGAAATGTACATTTTTGTCCTTTGAAGCTGGCTCTGCTCAGTGATAAACCCTGTCTATGTAACCAAGATGTTTGAGTTCAGGCATGAGGAGTGACACTCCCTGCTTCATGGCATAGGCTTTTACAGCTATCTGGCATCAGCATGTCTCACAGACCCAAACCTGAAAAGATTTCTGTGTTTCTTCAATTGTTTTCTATAGATATTGTTAGTTTTTTATGACTGTAGCCTTGCTGGACATTGACTGATAAGCTATGCACATGTGCTGCGTGCCCTGCACTTCCCAATCCTAATAAAAGATGTATTGGGGAAGGGCTTGGGGCATTCCCCACTTGAAGGAATTACCACCCCTTTTCTTGCAAGAGCAACAAGATTGTGCCTGAGACCATTCTTTATTCTGATCTGCGGTGGCCTGGGGAACCTTGCTGGCCAAAGTTCCCCTTATCTGGCACTGGAACTGGGACAGAGGCTACAAGCCAATGCCATGGAGCACACATCTACCTAAGACAGGATTCAGCACCTTCATCCCACAGGTAAAGGGATGGTGGTGCTGGAGCTTTCTGCTTATACTGTGGGTGTGTGTAAGATAAGGGAAAAGGGATTTCTTCCAAGGCTGCATTCTTTGTGGCCATTTTGAATTCAGTTTCACCTTCTCTCCCCTGCACCCTTTTTAGTGAGTAGGAGTCTTGCTCTCAAGCATTTGCCATACCCCACGGGCACAGATCCAGCAGTTAAAAGCCACTGGGGCACTCACCACTGGACGACACCCATAAAAGGATAAGCTAGATACGTGGACCAGGACAGAACACATGGTTTCCCACATGCCACAAGCAAAGGTCCACGCAATGAGAGGCACACTGTAAAAGCACTCACAAGCCCATCCCCTTGGCATAACCCCCACCCCCACCTAGGTTTAGGCTTGGATAGAAAGAATAAAGACTTTCCCTTTAATCAGTTTCAAAAGCAGCAACTAGTCACAGGGTTATTTATGAGTTTCTCAGCTTCTTGCTGAGCACTGGAGACAAGAGGCATTCCTCCCTCCTGCTTGAATTCTCAGACATTCCTACATGAGTGGGGGATGCGTGGAGGTTTATAGGGTCATTTCCTGAGATGTGCAGGGGCCTCATAGGGAACTCCAATCACGGTAATTAAATTTTGGCTCATCCTGGGAAGTGCACATAAGGATTGTGCACTCCAAGCCCCTTTGGCTGGTTTTAGATCACCCGGAGAGAAACCGAGGAATTGAAGATAGGCAGAGATGACCAGGGGGTGACACCCTTGGAAGCCCTCCTCACAAGCAGCACATTGTAACCCACCCCATTTATTTCTCCCCCACCAATTAGAAGAGGCTTAGAGAACTAATCAGGCAGAGAGAGGGTGAGGAAGTATGAAACCGAAAGTAATGCTGTCCCTCCAGCTGCCAACATGAGTTCAGGACTTTGTAAGAAGCAGGACATGTATTCTCTGATGCTTCAGCAGCTACTTCATGCTGTGGAATGTCAGGTTAGAAAACAGAATTTAACTAATTTGTTGAAACAACAAAGAGCTACAGTCTGTGGTTTCCAGGTAAAGGCTCTCCAGATTTAAACGTGTGAGAAAATAGGAGGACAGACATTGAAGTGGTATCAGGAGAACAGGACACCAATAGAATATCAGAATTTAATGACCTGGTGCCTAGTAACAATGGCTCTCATCTCTATTCATACTAGCAAACCTCATGATCAGGAAAACTTAGAGGAAAAGGAAGGGACTTGTTACACAGTGGTGGGCATAGCTGCTAAACCTAATAATAAAAGTCCACTTCCACTGCAAACCGAGGAAAAAGCTACTTCAGAAACAGCAGGGGGCCTGCCTTTGGGAGGTCAACACTGCTCTGTCTGTGGTCTGGGCTGCTCTTGGATGACTCACAGGAGGAGCCACTCCCTCCCCAGAGAGCTACTTGCTCTGGGCACCTCCAGAATTTACCTTCCCCCTCCTCCTCCATTAGATCCACCCTGTCCCCTAGGCAGATGACTACCTCCACTAAGCAACAATGTCACTGAGAAGCTGTGAAAGCGGGAGATTGGAAAGCAGTTTCTTTTTTTAAAATATATTTTTATTAATTATGCCATTACAGTTCTGTTTCTCCCCATCATTCCCCTCCATCCTGCACACCCCTCCCCCACCATTCCCCCCTTTAGTTTATGACCACATGTCTCAAGTTCTTTAGATTCTATAGTTCCCATACTATTCTTGCCATCCCCCCTATCCATTTTCTACTTATTGTCTATGCTACTTATTCTCTATACCTTCTCCTCACTTTTCCTCCTCCCACTCCCCTGTTGCTAACCCTCCATGTGATCTTCATTTCTGTGGTTCTGCTCCTGAGTTAGCTGTCCTCTTAGTTTGCTTTTGTTTTAGGTGTGGTTGTTAATAACTGTGAGTTTGCTGTCCTTTCACTGTTCATCTTTTTAATCTTTTCTTAGATAAGTCCCTTTAACATTTCATATAATAAGGGCTTGGTGATGATGAACTCCTTAAATTTGATGTTACCTGAGAAGCACTTTATCTGTCCTTCCATTCTAAATGAAAGGAACAGCCACCAGTGGAAAACTTATTTGAACAAATAATAAAGGAGAATTTCCTCAATCTGGAAAGCATTTTCTGCCTTCCCCATTGTCACTAATCAGCAAAGGACTCCAGAGCATGAGCCTTTGCCTTTTGAGGTATACAGAAATTTTAAAAAACAGCATTAAAGGCTTTAGTCACCCTACAGTATGGGGTTCCTGTCAGCCATAAATGAAGGATATGGGATGGCACCCTGTGATTGGCTTGCCTTAGCTGGAATGCTCCTAATGCCTGCCCAGTTTTCCATGTGGCATTGACAATTATGGATCACTACTGCCCACTAAGCAGTGGAAAATAACCACAATTAAATTCCAGTCCAGATTAATATGCTTCTTTGGACTGACGAATTTGAAACTGCTGAAAAACAGGTGGAAATGAATCCTCAGGTATTCATCCAGTGCTCCCAGGCACTCTCCATGCCCTAAAAATGGTCCGGGAAGCCAAAGCCCCGGGGCAAGGTGCCTTTGTTAATATTTGGCAGCGAGGTTTATTTAGACTTTATCAAATAGATGACAAGAAGTCATTCAATACAAATTGAGAATGAGGAGGCAGCCAAGACCCTTTTATTACAATTAGTTTATGAACATGCAAATAATGATTGTAAGGTTGTATGTACTCAACCCTCTCAAACTAACCACCAAGAATATTAGTAAATTTGTCAAGGTTTGCCAGAACATGGGCATGGAGCAGCATGGAGCCACATTGCTAGCGGCAGCCATAAAAGGTGAAAGTAAGTGCTTTGATTGTGGCAGACCTGGGCACACCTGCCAGGAGTACTGGAACAGAAAACATTATAGTCTAAAAAACCCATCCAGTAAACACTGAACAAGTGAATGTAGATCCCAATATGATAGAAATGCAAGCTGCTCCCACCTCAGAGAAAAGAGCAGAGGGTATGCATTCGGATTCCACGAACCCCAACAGGTATTATTCCCACAGGGACAATCAACTGCTCTGGGCTCAGGAATATGCTGAGTCTTCAATCTCCTCACCAACACAAGGATTGGACTAGGTCACGACCCAAGAGCTCATCTTAGAACAGGATAAAATCCTCATAGGTCCTACAGAGGTATGGTTGCCATTGCCTGAGGGCACTGTTGGATTGGTTTTAGGAAGGTCTAGCATTTCCACTAAAGGGATTTTATTCCAGCCTGGAATAATTGATTCTGATTATCAGGGAGAAATCAAAATGATCAGAGCCTGTGGATACCATGTCATTCCTGCTCAAACTCATATACCCCAACTTCTTCCCTATATAGTACCAAATACTCAAAATATTAAAAGCGGGGAAGGAGGCTTTGGTAGTACTAATAATCTGGTTTTTGAACCACCTCCATTAAATTGAATAAACCTCTTTTAGAAATCAAAATCAAAGACAGAACTTTCCATGGCCTACTAGATATGGGTGCAGATATTCCTATGATGTTTAGCCAATATTGGCCTCCAGATTGGCCACTAACAGAGGCTGACATATCCATAACTGTTATAGGATGCAATTCTCAACCCCACACAAGTGCCTGGTCCCTCAGGTGCTAAGGCCCTGATAGACAGGAAGGGCGAATTCAGCCCTATGTTTTTCTAGCCCCACTTAATATTTGGGGAATGAAAATCACCCTCCCCCCTTTTCACTAATGGCCACTGTTCAGAAATCTCCTCTACCCCTCACATGGCTTTCAGATATGCCTGTGTGTGTTGATAAGTGGCCAAAGAAAGGGGAGAGGTTAGAAAAAATCTATGATTCAATAAAACAACAATTAGAGTCAGGACATACTAAGCCATCTAGCAGCCCATGGAATACTCCAATTTTTGTAGTGCCCCTCAAAATGGAGGCTTATACATAATCTTAGAAAAGTTAATGAGATACTGAAACCATTGGGAGCTTATCAACCTGGAGTCCCAAATCTAGCTAGCCTCCCTAAGGATTAGCCATTTCTACTCATCGACTTAAAAGATTTTTTTTTTCCAATTCCTTTAACTGAAAAGGACAGAGTGAGATTTGTATTCTGTCCCAGTTATCTAACAACTGTTGGCCATTACAGAGATTCCAATGGGAAGTTCTGTGTCAAGGAATGTAAAACATCCCAACTGTCTGCCAACTATCTGTATTTTGTCCATCAAACTTTATGGTTTGTCCAGGAAAAGTTCCCCTATTCTATAATATATCATTATATGGATGATATCCTGCTTGCTGCCCTGTGTTCTGAGATGCTAAGACTTAGGCTTTAAATTCAGCTCTTCCTAATTATCATTAAAATGCCCATACTACCCAAAGAGATCTATAGATTCAATGCAATTCCTATTAAAGTACCAATGGCATATTCACAGATATAGAACAAATACTTTAAAAATTTATATGGAACCATTAATGACCCCAAATAGTTTTATCAATATTGAGAAAAAGAAGAACAAAGCAGGAGGGATCACAAATACCTGACATCAAACTATATTACAGGGCCACTGTCATAAAAACAGTCTGGTACTAGCATAAGAACAGACACAGACCAATGGAACAGAATAGAGAGCCCAGAAATAAACCAAAGTCTCTATGGTCAATTAATATTTGACAAAGTGGGAAGAAACATAAAATGGAGTAAAAATAGCCTCTTCAACAAATGGTGTTGGGAGATCTGGACAGCTACCTGCACAAAAATGAAACTCGAGCAACTTACACCATACACAAAAATAAATTCAAGGTGGATAAAAGACTCAAATATAAGTTGTGAGTCTTAGAGGAAAGCATCAGTAGGAGTAGGAAAATCTCAAATGTTCCACACCGCAATATCTTCACTGATATGTTCCCTAAAGCAAGGGACATAACAGAAAGAATAAACAAATGGGTCCTCATCAAATTAAAAAGCTTCTGCATGGCCAAAGAAAACAGCATTAAAATGAAAAGAGAACCAACTGTATGGGAAAACATATTTGC